ATAACGTGCCTCATTATAAAAAATGTAAAGAACATACAATGAAAACTGAATACAAATGGGTTTGATTCGAAAGTTTCATACTAATTACTACAGAGAATGGTCTAATTTCAAAATCAAAAGCTACCAATTTAGAAAGATTTAAAAGTTGTATTCGGTGGATCATAGAATCAATTTATAGTAAGTTGTTTACAGTGGACAAAAATTGTCTAATTAAAAAGTAATAATAACCTATTAAAAATAATAGCAAACTAAATTTAAAAACAGTGGCAGAGATTAACTTTTATATTAAATTTGATTTAATGTTAATGACATTCTTTTACATTAAAAACGTTTATTTAAAAACCATTCTATGCTATTGCCAATTATAAAAAGAAAGGCTGGGTCTTTTAAGATAATAAAATTAATTGGTGCATAATGTAGACTTAATTAAGAAGGTATTATGTTTGTATCCTTAATTAAATTGTTTCCCAATAAAACCGTTAAAACAAAGCCATGTTTAAGTAAAAGTTGTTTAGGTATTTTCACATTTGTTCGATTTTATTATATTAGTTAACCAGCAGAGCTCCACTTCGAATTTTAGATATGGCAGTTTACGATTTCTAAATTATACTAATATGTTATACAAAGTGGGTTCCAAAGTAAACAGGATTTTTTAAAAATAAGAACATACAAAAAGTTTTCTTTGATAAAATCGATTTATTTTATCCAAAATAGTCGGTACAAGCCTTTTGGGAGGCTTCTACATCCACAAAGCGCTTTCCTTTTATCGGCAAATGCATCCGAAAGGAAAAAAGTCGCATGGTGCCAAATCAGGCGAATTTGGGAAGTGATAGACAGTTAAAGCTTCAAAACGCTAATATAGAATTGTGTATTAACAGTTTGGCCAGGTGAAATAAACTCTTTGTGGACAAGGCCCTAGGAACCGTAAAAGCAAATCAACATTGTCTTCACCTTTGACTTCTCCAAAAGAACTGTTTTGGATTTTGGCTAGTCTGGCTACTTCCACTTTGACTTTAGTGCTTGGTGGTATATAGTGGAAACACCACGTTTTATCTCTAGTTACAATGTTGTAAAGGAAGCTTTTGTCCTTTTTGGCCTCCTTGATGATGCCCTTCGAAAATTGAATTCTGAGCAATTTTTGGTTGTCAGTCAACTAGTGCGGAACATAAACATACTGTCATTTCAGACGCAATAACTCCGCTTCTATTCGTCCAAATGTCATGAAATTTTGAGGGTACATCAGTCAAGGATCTACCTTTCCAATTCATGTAATAACTTCACTAGAAATACCTATTTTTGAAGAGTTCTGTTTACATTGTATTTCTTTCTTTACAATAAATTTCTGTGTTACGTTCAGATTCCATTAAACGAAAAAAAAAGAGATATAATAAAATCCTAAAGTATTTTATATCTTAATAATTTTGAATGTCCTTTTTATTACAGAGCAGCAGAAGCCAGCCAGCCATAGGTTTAAAACACACTCCAAAATCACGGGTAAGTCATATCCTTTTGGTAAAATATTAAAATATAAACGTGTCACAAAAATGTTATGTAAACTCAAATTTAAAGAATATCATTGTAACAACTACATATTAAAATTATACTTTCAAGGAATTTTCACATCTTAGGAATCAGAACTAATAGCAAAATTTTACGTGTAGGTATCGGACTTCATGGTCGTTTGAAGGTCAATTCACACTATAACTCAAGCCCCGATCAGCTCACGCTCTACTCACGATTCTATGAAATATTTTTGCACGCTGACGGTCTTTGACCGCGGTATAGATTCGAGACAGTACTTGAGCGAACAGTGAGCGTCGCGTGACTTGAGCGTCTAGTGTGTATTGGCCTTAATGATAACGATGATGAGAAATTTTACAAATATCTTTTTAAATTCAATCGACAACTACCACTCTCTGAAATTTAAAAATTAAATACAACTTATACAGAAAGAAACTGTTTAATATTCTAAATATTTTATGTGTTGAATAAGCGCAACTTTCTCTAATTGTAAGACACAAAGCTGTGGCCAAAAATATAAAAAAAATTTAGAACGTGCATTGTTATGAAGAAATCACGTTATAAAACGGTGATATGTGGGTTACAAAGATGAAAGTGCCGCAAAAACGAAATTATTATTATTTTGTGTGGTTAAAATCGGGATCATACACCGACTTATTCTCTTATCAAAGTTGTCATAATATGCATGAACCATGAACAGAAAAAAAAATAAATAGAACCACAGACAATCTCTGAGATACATGTATATTCGATGTTGTAAAGGAAGCACGGACTAGGACGCCACATATATACCTACGTCATAATAGCAAAACGGAAAATATGCAGTTAAATAGTAATTTTTTAAAATTTCAGTAAAGTATATTAAATATATTTTTATGTAAAACTATTTTGTTTATAGATTATCATCATTTAAAAGAAAGGAAACCGGTTTCGGAGTTTAAATAAATAAGTTTTCAGATCCCTGTTAAGAAATATAATGTAAAAAAAGATATATACAAAAAAAACCTACTCTTGTTTTTTTTAATCTTATAATCCTTTGTTGGGACCTGTAGAGGGTAGATACAGTTTGTTCAGACTCCTAAACCGATGGTACTTTTTCCAAATGAATTTATTTGCACCATACCAACACCTAATAGTTGAAAAAATGAAAAACTAATTTAAGAATACATTTTCAATACAGATACATAATAGATGTAGACATTGAGTAAACCGCAATAGCTTCTTATTGAACTATAGGTGCTACAAAATCGAGACATATGAAAGCTGGCTAAAATAGAGGGATGGAAAGCAATATATAAAAGTCTAGAAATATTACAGCAGATATACTGCATTGGCTAATGATATTATTTATTACTTTAAACAAAAACAGTTAAAAAAATTGATTCTAGTTTATCAAATTGCATTTGGTATTGTATGAACACCAAACTACAGAGTAGAATAATATCGTAGTTTATAATATAATCTAAGTGAACTTTTCCTGACAAATAGTCAAAACCTTCTCAACTCATTCTTGTAAAGTTTTTAAACAAAACTTCATCGTTAGCAACCAATTTACTGAAAAAGTCAGTGCGAGCTTTTCACCCACTGACATATAATTTTCTTCTCCATTATCTTGGTTTTCTACTATCTCTTTATCTTTTCTATTACTAAGACCTGCATTTGATATCGATAACAAATATGCAGTTATTGCGGCTGTTTTCAAAGACCTGACGCAAATTATTGATGTAAAGCTGCGGGATGCAACTATTGCAAAAAATTACTTAATCAGGGTGACAAAAAGTTGAAGATCTATTTTAAAGTTTTGGAAAATTATGATTACATATTACATTACAAAATAATTGAGTGATCTTTTGTAAGACGAATAATTATAAATTCCAAGATATATATAAAAAAAAATTGAGAACAAATATTTTAATGTTTTCTCTTTGTGACTGATCTACATAATTTCGGTTAATACAGCATCCTCAATCAATTAACATGTTATTCGGTGAATGTCTTATAGAATTTCATTCTTAAAACAGGCATAATGCACACGCTATACATTATTATTAATTAATAATTTAGATGCATAGGTCATTAGACATTGTTTTTCATCAAGGTAAGTTAACTTATTTGTTTACGATGAAAATTAATTTTATATCTATAAGTTTCTGTATTGCCTAGGCACCTATTGCCTGTACAGTTGTGTACATCAATAAATGATAAAAATGATCGAACTCATTACTAATCGCATTTCATTGAAAACATCATAATGGAATACACATTAATTTTTCACAGTATTGTTAGTTATAATTTTAATTAACTCTCTAACAACTTATTCTTAATATAAGCAGTATTTTCCACTAATTAACTCTTAAAGAAATTTCATTTCAACATTTCAAAATTTCAATGTTTTATAATGACTAAATAAAAACTGATCTTTTTTAGTAGCTCATCTTAATTTTTTCCAATAAATTGAAGCTATTTACAGTAATAATTCACGATTGTAGACGATATACATGAATTAGAAGGAAGTGTATATGTATTATAAATAAAAAATGTACCTACTTAATTTTAACATTTTATTTTGTTTGTTGCAGCTATTTACTTTGTGATATCTGTAGCTATTATTTGTTTTAAAGTTGCATGTAGATACTCAGATAGAATCACTGTAAATACTCAGGTTCCAGGTTTTACCAAAAACCGCGAAATGTTAAGAATTATATTTATTATTGAGTACTTACGCTTCACGCAGTTTAAACAACAATTAAATATTATATCGCTGATCTAATAGAACAAATAATTTAAAAACGATTATCAATATTTAAGTGTTGGTGATTTAACAGATACATTATCTAAGCTTTGAAGTGTTGTACACACAGGCACCTCGCTTAAGCCAGCCATACGCTGAAAGCCGTTCAGTGCTTTGTGCTTTGTTATGCCAAGTTTATAATCAGCTGCTGTACCTCGCTAGTCATTTTTAGGCTATATTTTCCCGGATATTTGCCCGAAAGAACGAAAAACTGCAACAAATACTTCTATTTACCATTCACTTGAGTGAAGTTAGTAGCACAGCCGCTATAACGCGCTATGTTTTGTTGTGTTGAGTTTGCTGAGTGTATAATCAGCTGTGATTTGACTTTATACTGTTTACGATTTGGGAAATAATTAAACTTGGCATATTTCTTATTGGATTATTATTTGCTATATCTTCCCAGATATTTTTTTGAAATGCCCATATCTTTTATCCCTCATAGACGAGAAGGAAAAGCTTCCATTCATTGTACTCACAGTACAAAAAGTTTGCTGTTTCTACACAGCTACAGCACAGCACAGTTGCACAGTACACTTGGTGTGCGGCCGGCTTTAGAATATTTATCGAATGCATATTATCCGGCCTCTGTCGGCACCTTCTACTCTCCAGCGTCCCTGTCTATGGCGGCGTGCGCGGTTCTACAAAAATGACTCATTCCGTCAGTATAACCGCGTCTGTTGGGGAAGTTACACGTCGATGAATCGACTCTCGTTGTGTTTGTAAACAACATATGAGAGTAAAACGTGTTTTTCACGCCTTTTCTCTACCGAAAACACTGCAACTGCTGCATTTCCGCAACAAGTTCCATTGAAAACATACAAGATACACATATTCCTTTTGGTTTTGTATTTTGTTTGTGTTTGTGTTTTGAAATACCCCAGTACAGTGTTAACACCGAAGATGTATTTTTGTTTGTGTTGAGATATTATTTGTTTTGTGTTCACTTTTGATTTCGGTCTTAGCTGCCCCCGACGCACGTATTTGGAAGCAGGTAAAACATGTTTTATAGATTTTTCAAAAACTGCTGTTAAAAATCAAGTTACCAAGCTGGATATGCACAGGTTGAGTTGAGGTCATCTCAGGTCATAAGTGCAAGGCACAATTTTTATGTGCAACACACGTTAGGTACTAACACTAACGGAATTTTACTTTGATGTACCAAGCTGGTTTCGAACTGAATAAATAAAGCTCCGGACTACCTGATACTTGTTTGACGACGAGGTTTGAGGTTAGCAAATGCCGCTTCGGATAACTACCTAATACCTTAGCACCGAAAAGGTAAATACACCTTAGCAATTTGTAATTGGTATCGGAATACCTTTGTTTGATATTAATTTTTTTATGGGTTAGAATTAGTACACGCTGCTCACTACTCTTAGGTAATTTATGAACAATTTTTACTTATCAATGTCTTTACGTTTTATTTACTTGTGCTTATTAAATCAAAGGTAAATCAAACTCAGTTTAACGGAGGAACATTTGCAATAAATGCGAAGGAAATGCACAGTTAATTTGCAGAAGTCTTAATAAACCTCAATTTTAGCAGAACATTGTATTGTAAGCAATTCATTCTCCTCAAAAGCTGCAGCTGTAAAAATTCTCTCTAATAAGTATTTATTTTTTATTAAATGATAAATAATCCAATCGGATGTTGGAGTAAAGTACTTATTATTATTCACCAAACAACGGAAATACCTCTGTAACAACGTTATTAATATTTGCTAAGCGCTAAAGCTCGAACAAAAATAATTACAACCATTGTTTCGTATGTGAAATATTTTTTTATAGTATCATAGATGGTAAATGAGAATTTTTGACATTATATAACGCTCAGTAAAAGCTAAATTGCAATAATTATAGGTAATAATATTTATATTTCGCGCAGGGGACTTTCTAAAACCGTGTACCGTGTATACGTATCGTCGTAACTTCGGCTTTAGATTTGTTATTCAAATGCGGATCTGGATATCGCTAAAATTTGTAAACCAAATGAGTCTCAGTTTCTACAGAAATATTTTTTATTTGTTGAAACTGTTATATACGACACCTCAAAGTGGCTCCAGTTATTGACATTGTNGGATGTTGGCGTAAAGTACCTATTATTATTCACCAAACAACGGAAATACCTCTGTAACGACGGTATTAATATTTGCTAAGCGCTAAAGCTCGAACAAAAATAATTACAACCATTGTTTCGTATGTGAAATATTTTTTTATAGTATCATAGATGGTAAATGGGAATTTTTGACATTATATAACGTTCAGTAAAGGCTAAATTGCAATAATTATGGGTAATAATATTTATATTTCGCGCAGGGGACTTTCTAAAACCGTGTACCGTGTATACGTATCGTCGTAACATCGGCTTTAGATTTGTTATTCAAATGCGGATCTGGATATCGCTAAAATTTGTAAACCAAATCCGTCTCAGTTTCTACAGAAATATTTTTTATTTATTGAAACTGTTATATACGACACCTCAAAGTGGCTCCAGTTATTGACATTGTGGAACAAACAGTATTGTTGGATGAACGCTTTGTTTGTCTGAAGGAAGATATTAATTCCCGATAAACTATGCTTATGTCCCTACTTGACAGGATTTCGATGAATTGCATCATGTCAAAACATTGGCGATATTCATCAACATCTATCAAAAATTTCTTCTCATGCTTCCTATTCCTAATTTCCTTCTTTCTCTCTCTCCAACCCTATTTTTCTCTCTGTTTCTTTATCGATTATTTCTCTACGCCCCTTGGTATCATTTGTAGGATTTACTTTTATAGCCATTCTTCATTCATTCTTTAAACTTGATAAAATTCGATATGTTGTTTTGCTATCATCTGCTGGTTTATGGGAGATTTTCACCACCTTCCACATAGTCCCATTGGTGACGAATTTGTTTCTTTCTCAAAATTCCTTCAAAAACCAAGCCAAAATTATTTCGTTGTAGAATTGAATGTGTTTCGTTCTCAATTTTATCTACCCATTTCATACAGTTATTCATTTTATCAATTAATTTTTTAAGGGGTAAAATCAATATGTACACTGAATGGTTCCTTTGTGTACTTCTTTGTTTTCTATTGATAACTCATACCAAGCTCATCTAAATTAGAAATTCTATTGAACATCTCTACTGTATCGAACTTTTACCACTTTTAGTTTTTCTTATCTTATTAGCTTTACCTAAATTACTACCAAAATGTCTCTTATCCCCTCGTAAACTTTTATGCTGAACATTCTTACAGTTTTGTTGTTGAGAACAGCAGTAAAATAGTTAAATAGTCGTGATACTCCCAAACGTTGATAATCCCATGAATCTTGTAAATTTATTTGTTTCTTTAACCTACTCGACGATGGTAAATATCATAAACGGTGACATTTTATATTCTTCCCTCCACACTATTGTAAATGAATACTCGGATTACGACATTTTTATGAAGTTCATCTACACTATAACGGAAATTTATGGGACAAGTTTTGAATTTTTGACGATTAGTTCTACAATGTGTTTTTGAATACATTTTTTACTATTTCAGTATTATAGAAAGAAAAGTGTTCTTATTTTGTAATAATTCTATGTTAGGAATAGTAGAGTTCGTACAATATTTGTTGAGATAGAATTTCAAAAAAAGAATAAGCCAATAAAGTTCTGTTATTGGAACTACTGTAACAGTTTACCGCGGTAGGGGTGTGCCTTGAAAATTTTCGCCAATGTTGTTCTACCGCGGATGTCGAATGCGGTTAATTTCATGAAAGTGATTGTATATCTACATAAAAAATAAAAGTTATTTTAAAATACATATTAATTTCTAATTTTAACTGAAAACCTAGTAAACAGATATAATAATAGACAACGACAACAGTACACTCTTTAAGTCTAGTGTCTATTTTTAAATTATTGCTTCTAAAATATCAGGAATAATTTACAAATAATTGCTTTCAGTCGCAATGATTTTAAATATATTCAACTTCGTTTATTCGTGAATAAAACACGTTGATATACAACTTTTCAATTATTATATTGTTAGGAAATGTGTACAAGCTGGATTTTCTTTAGAACAAAGGCATACAATTTAATCAATGCTTATTTAAAAATATTTTACGTCAATGAGAAAAATACATTTTGATAACGATTGGAGAAATATTTCACAGCGTAAATTTACAGCAGAAAGACAAATAGAATATACAGTACTCTTATGACCTTCAAAGTTTAAACAACCGCCTCCTGGTTCTGTGAACATGCTTCATTCATGCTGTTCAACTTTTAAATTGTTACATAAGTACAGACAGATATAGTTTTGCGATGAAAATAAAATATGATAAATGTACCCAAGGCCGTTGATTCAAACAACATTTTTATCGAATTGACATTTTTGTATTCGTTTACCTGATCGAAGGCCACTGCTTGTCTACGCACAATAGCGGTCGGCTAAACAATTTGCGGAATTCGAACTGTAATATGAAACTGTTACCTCAATTGTCGATTCCAATTAGATTTCTGCGGCACAATTTGAATTAAATTAACCCTTTGGTCTCTGACTGTAGCCGACAATGTAAATATTTGGAGTGCGACACGAATTTCGATAGCATTATATTTCGATGCTATGTGTGCACGACCACGATTCCTCTTTCATTAGGGATGGTTTGCAATCAGATATGAGGACTCGAGGATACACTTAAATGAGCATATTTAACCCTTCGGATGGCTACAATGATTTTGTGGATGTACCCAACAAAACAAAGTTCATATGAACAAAGATATTGAAAATTAATAAAAAATACGACTTTCTCCGGACAAGTAAAACGCATAGTTGAGGGTACGAACGTAAAAATAATTTATTTCGAAGAAGACAGGTACATTTTACTCGACATTTATAAGGCTTTTAAAATATTCAGAGATTAGAATGAACTGAAAACAAGGACATTCCTTTTTTCCACACAAAATGCAAAGAGATGAATTGCAAATGCTTTCCACAAAGGTAGCACTTCAAAGCGTGGAAATACTATATACGGAAATTGATCTCTACGGCGTACAATAATAACATTGATAAATTATAGAAGGGCAGCTGAATTTACGCCACGTGCCCTAAGTTCCATTTCCTCCCACATTAGCAGTCTATCTATCTTTTCCAGGTGTTGACACACACTGAAACTAAATTGTGTATTTCCTAAAATCGGTTTACCTATCTTATATCAAATTTTGTTCAAATTGTCCCTTACAATGCATTTATTTGATGCATATAGTCACTGTGGACGCCTTAATCTACTTCCCTGACGCCAGGCTTACCAAGTATGTATGATTTTTAAAAGGTGATCTGTCGTATATGGCCTACACTCACAATAGCCTACACAAGTTGCTGAGTCACATCTGAATTAAACAGTTGTAATTGACAATGTAGCCCTGATGTTGGTTGTAATTCGCAACGATTTCAAATCACATTTTGCGGATCTTAAGTTCGTACCTAGTTATAAATAATAAATGCTTAAGGCTCATAGAAATCATTCTATACGCGATCAGATGCTGAAGGATATTTTGATCCAGTATCAATAAAGCCCCTATTTATTATTCGACAATCGGAAAAAATAGATTTCGACATTTTTACTAGTAAAATGGACCACTAGTTCTATTTCGTCCTAAGTCAGCAAAAATGACCATTATGGAGCAAGTAAATATAAATTAGGTGCATTTTTTCATGAAAGCCAAAACCTGATTCGTGTTAATACTTATTATTCTGCACTTTTAAATATTGGTAATAATAAAATTAGTAGTCAAATTAATATGCTTAGTAGTTAATAGTTAATACATTATAATACGGCGATATTTTGACCAAATTTACTAAATGACATTGGCCAGAGATCCCACTATACTGCTAGCAATATTGGTAATGTAAACCCTGCCAATAGATAAACAGCATTTGTTCTAGTTGAAAATATCATTTGAAATTTTGCTCATATTTCAATTCTGTATGATTCAACTCCTTTTTTACTCAT